ATCACTTTATTTTTTTTCCAGTGAAAATTCTAGAGGGACAGAGGACAAGGGGAGGTGTTTAATCTGCTTTCTCTATTAGAAAATCCTGGGGAGTGGGAGTGACAGGGAACCCAATCATTTTTATAAATAAATGTTCCTTTAAGAAGGACTTCCTTGAGATTTTCCTATTTTGTCTGCACACATAGAATAAGATGAAACATTCAGTAATGGTGATGAATGTCCTTTATTTCTATTTGGGGGATGAATTTACCTACAAGTCACGAGGGGCTTCCATAGGAAAGTGAAATTTTATGCCCCTCCCTTTTTTCTCAGATACTTGCAGGGGACAATATTGGTAGCCTTTGCCATTCTTGCCATTTCTTTGGTCAACTTTAGTTTAAAATAACAGACGAATGGACTTCAGTATTTTAATAAAAAAAAGTTGGATTCCACACCCTCCACACCCTTCCTGCTTTAGTTTCCCAATAAAGATGTTTTGAAAGAATACCAGCTATGTTTGCACTGGACGGGGATTTTCCTTGTGCTTCAGTGAGAACAACGCTGATAGTCTTAGGTGGAGATGAAGAGTTTTATTCACCACCTCCAATCACAGTTACATCTACTCAGGAAATGCGCACTGGGTATGTGTCCTATGTCAGGGCGTGTGTTCAGTATGGTATTTAAGGCATTACAGGATACCTCCTGTCCTCATGGAGTTTATATTCTAACAGATGCTGTCATCTGGTTAATAACGGTTATCTTTAGGCCGTGCTTATCACGAGACAGCATCTGACCTGCCTGAATCCTTAGTACAACACTGCAAGGCAGCTTTAACATTCTTATCTTACACCGGAGGAAACGGAGGCTTAGTGGTTTGCTCAAGGTCATCCAATTGGTCTACGAGGAGCCAGAATCTGAAGCCAGGTCTCTTTTATTTCAGAGCCCGTGTTCTTCCATTTGTATAGTTAAAAAAAAAAAAAAATCAACAAAGCAAATTTCACATGCAGTGTTTTATAAAATCTATTATCTAACCCAGTGAGGGCACTTTTTTTTTTTTTTTAATCCTTACTTGAGGATACGTTTTTATTGATTTGAGAGAAAAAAGGAAGGCAGGATGGGAGGGACAGAGAAAAAGAGAGAGAGAGAAAAAGAAACATCAACCATTGCCTCCATCCCATAAGCACCCCAACTAGGGATTGAACCCGCCACCTTTTGATGTATAGGATGAAGCTCCAACTCACTGAACCGCTAGACCAGGGCAAGGGCCCTCGTATTTTAACTAAAATTAATTATTCTCAGCTTGAGAGATTTGATGGGGGGGGGGGATCACAAATTAATTACATCATTTTGGGCCTGTATCCTATTATCAGCTTGCCTGATTTGATTACATTTTAATGAACATTATGCTTAGGAATAAAACTTCTTTGTATAACACAAATTTAACTTTAATTACAGTAGGAGAACTTAGCTATTTTAAGGAACTCAGTATTTAATAATATTTAAAGCAAATAAAAGAGTGTATAATGCAAATAATTGCATTTTCATTTCCTTGTCTAAGCACACGCTTTTCCAGTCTTCATTTAAAGTAAGTTTAGATAATAGTAAACTGGGAAATATGGGGAGCCTGTATATTGGTGTTTGGTTTTTTTATTTTTTTTATTTTTTTTTTAAGATTAGCTTTAAAAAAATAATAAAAATAATAAATAAATAAATAAATAAATAAATATTTATATATTTATATATTTATATATTATTGATTTTTTACAGAGAGGAAGAGAGAGGGATAGAGAGTTAGAAACATCCATGAGAGAGAATCATCGATCAGCTGCCTCTTGCACGCCCCCTACTGGGGATGTGCCCGCAACCAAGGTACATGCCCTTGACGGGAATCCAACCCGGGACCCTTCAGTCCCCAGGCTGATGCTCTATCCACTGAGCCACACCGGTTTCTGCTTGTTTCTTTTTTTCAGCCTTGTCAATTGTCTTAAATGCTTAAAGGAACACTAAATTATCATCATATAATTCCCATAGCAAAACAAAGGCAATATTTAAAATAGAAATGTGTAAGCAGAAGTCCCAGGGAGTCAAAGGATAACCAGAAACTCTCATTTAGAGAAACTCAAGGAAAGCTGAAATTGTGTGTGTGTGTGTGTGTGTGTGTGTGTGTGTGTTTTTCTTCAGTTGGTGAGCTGATCATTATTTCCACTGACATTTATTGAACGCCTGCTGTGTGACAGCTACTGTTTAGACACCGGGGATGAAATGATGTTTAAGGATAGGCTATCTGCCAGTCAGAACTGGTGGTCTGGCAGATCAGGGAGCCCGAGACTCGTGGGGAGGCAGCCAGCTGGCTTAGACGCCGAAGCCTCCCGGGATTGATGTGCAGCCAGCAGAGAAACCCTGATACGAAGGAGATGGAATAAAGCAAAACGGTAAAGAACAGGAGATGAAATACTGGAAAATAATGACGAGGAAGAAACCGTGGCATACCGCTGGACATGAAGGCTAAGTCCGGGAGAAATGGACCAGTTAATATTGGATTGTGTGTCACAGACTAGTTCAGAACGGTGTTGATATAATACTTCACAACTTTGAAATTTATGAATTTTCAGCCCTAGCTGCTTTGATAGAGCGTCAGCCTGTGGACTGAAGGGTCCCAGATTCAATTCTGGTCAAGGGCACATACCTTGGTTGCAGGCTCCTTCCTGGCCCAGGTCCTGGTTAGGGCTCATGCAGGAGACAATCAATTGAGTGATATTTCTCTCTGTCTTTTCTTCTCTTTTCCTCTCTCTTCCACTCTCTCTTTAAAAAAATAAATAAAATAAATAAATAAATAAATAAATAGATGGAGAAATGACTTTGGTTGAGATTAAATTTTTTCAAAGCACTTTCCCATTTTTCAAATCAACCTTCATAGCAGTAAAGAAGGCCTTATGTTTTATTTCATTATACAGATGAGCAAACTGAGGCCAGGGCAGTATAATGATTTTGCCAGAAGGTCACAGAGTGTGTTTCAGAGCTGTATTTGAACTTCAATCTTCTGACTTCAAATTCAGAGCTCTTTACGACATTCTAGTAGGATAGCAGTAAGGAGAAGAGAGAAGAGAACAGATCTGCAAACTAGGTTGGTACAGATCCTCTCATGAAACCACGTGTGCTGGGAAAGTAAGAAACATGAGAGACACATTACCAGAATCGTGTATACATACATGTTCCCAATACTGTTGAAGACAACCGGTGGTTTTGTAGTGAAATATGACACATAAGTACACTTCCAAGCTCAGCGAAGCTGTAGCTTAATTCTTGGTTAGTTTTGTTTTATTAAAACGATGGGTTAGTTAGTACCGTGCCTCATAGATGCCTCAATTAGATCCAGCCTTAAACCAATTAATGGCAGAGTGACTCTTTGTGCAATAACCAACACGAGGATGCCTTTATCTAGGACTCAGAGGGCACTGGAAAAGGAATCGCAGCCCTAGCTGAGTAGCTCAGTTGCTTAGAGCGCCGTCCTGATACACCAAAGTTGCAGGTTCATTCAATCCCTGGTCTGGGCTCAGGCAAGAGTCAACCAATGAATGCATAAAAGTAGAACAGCAAGTCCATGTGTGTGTGTGTGTCTCTCTCCCCCACTTCCTCTCTCTCTAAAAACACAAACACACAAATAAGAAAATGTAAGCATAAATGCAGTTGAGCTGTGTATGCTATATTAAAAGTTTTCCTTGGAATTAGAAGATGGGATGTTTGAGGCGAATGCAGTGGCAATGAAGCAGAGACCTCTGACCATGAAGCTGCAGCATCATTTGCAACAAAAAACACATTTTCTTTGAATTACATTTGGAATTTAATTTGTTGTAAGATCAAGTAAATCTGTGCCCTGTACCTTTCCCATCCAGGTACCACTGAGTTCTTGATTGACTAGCTCACCCTGAAAGGTGGCCTTGCTTTTGATATTGCCTCTTCCTAGTTGTTTTCCCACACATCATCACAGCATCACCCTCTCCTTGTCATTACAGATTCACCTTAAAGGTTCCCTTCATGAACAGGCCTCTCCCGATCACCCAGCCCCAGGGAGCTCCTGGTCCCTGACCACATGGCCATCTGCTCTGTCTGCATTTATGCTTTTATGGAACCCTTGCTTTGTGATGAGGAACACAACAAAGTTCCTGGCCTTAAGGGAGTTGCCACTCCAGTGAAAGGAAATAATCAATCACAACCTGGTACTCCCATTCTGACCCAGCACCAGAAGCAGAGTGGAAGATTCGAGAACAGTGGCACTGTTTTTTTCTGGTGAAATTAGTGCACAGAACTTTCAGAGAACCCCATTCTTTCTCACACTTTTACTACTTACTTCTGTAAAGTTATCTGCACAACTGGAGAGCTGACAAGGTGTACAATAGAGAACATGGCTGGCAGCTTCTCCAAAATTTACTATGCACATTCGTGAGCAACTCACATTATCTACTTTTTGCATTGATTTTCTCGTTTGCAAAATGAGGTAGATCTATCCATTTCACAAGGTTTTTGAATGAATTAATTATGAAAGTATTTGAGCCCTAGCTAGTTTGGTTCAGTGGATAGAGCATTGGCCTGTGGACTGAAGGGTCCCAAGTTTGATTATGGTCAAGGGCATGTACCTTGATTGCAGGCTCGGTCAGTGTGCGTGTGAGAGACAACCAATAGATGTGTCTCTTTCACATTGATGTTTCTCTCTATCTCCCTGTCTCCCCTGCTCCCTTCCACTCTCTCTAGAAATCAATGGAAAAATATCCTCGGATAAAGATTAATAAAAAAAAAAATTAGGAAAGTATTTGATGAATAGAGCACTAGGTGGATATTCAGTGTTGTCTGCAGATGTCTCTGAGTTGCTGAAATTTCCCCCATCTGTTCCTGAGGGCGCTTCCCAGATGTGTGCCTCTCTCTTTCCCTGGATAAACAGCACTGAGTACTATTTAGCTTGTCTCAGATGACCACATTTGACTTTGAATCTACTCTAACAGCATTAATTTTCTGTTTTTCCACAGTATTTTGGAAGTTTGCTTGTCATTTTCTGTGTGGAACTGGCTTGTGGTGTTTGGACATATGAGCAGGAAATTATGGTGAGTTCAAAATGGGATACAGTCACAATCTGAAACTATATCCAGGTCAGCCTTATAGGTCAGATCCTTTGGAGTAATTTAGGCACCTGGTTCTTGATTTGAATATTTATACCATATAACAGCATGTAGTCCCACTCCTTCTGAAAAGTAACACCGTCTTTTCTGTGTCTAAAGCATAGCTCCAAACCCTAATTTGCAATATTTTATTTGGTGTACTCTGATATGTATTTTTAATTCCACAGATTGCTTAAACATGGATATATTAGCTTTAAAATAATATATGTTTTAAAGTAGTTTTACCAATTTTGGAGTGTATAGTTGGGAAAGATTCTTATTTGCAACAAGTTTAAGAAAGTGTGAAAATCTGCCCAAAAGCCTTATAAAAAGCTGTCCACCCATGACTGGGAGGCATGAACCCCCTGTTGGCCCCACGCTGAGCTATCATCCACTTCAAGAAGAGTTGCTGAGTTTCCTCCAGCCTAGAAACATTTTACAGTTGGACACTTGGCTACATGGAAACAACTCTTCAGTTTTTCTCTTTTATTTTTGCCACGGGACCAATGTTTACAATTATACTAGAGGCCCAGTGTACGAAATTTGTGCACAGGGACCGGGGGGTGGGGGGGGATGCTTGTGTCCCTCAGCCCAGCCTGTACCCTCTCCAATCTGGGACCCCTCAAGGAATGACCAACTGCCCATTTAGGCCCGAGTCTGGTAGGATTGGGCCTAAATGGGCAGTTGGACATATTATACCTCTCACAATCCAGGACTGCTGGCTCCCAACTGCTTGCCTGCCTGCCTTCCTGATTGCCCCTTACCACTTCTGCCTGCCAGTCTGATCACCCCCTAACCACTCTCCTGCCAGCCTGATTGATGCCTAACTGCTCCCCTCCCAGTCTGATTGCCCCTAACTGCCCTTCCCTGCAGGCCTGGTCACCCCCAACTGCCCTCTTCTGCTGGACATCTTGTGGTAGCCATCTTGTGTGCTGGAATGATGGTCAATTTGCATATCTTTTTTATTAGATAGGATTAGAATGGATAAGAATAAAAATTTCAAAGTCTTAAGATGTTAGCAGTCATGTTTGCTTTAACCATGTGCACTTCACTCTTGCTCATGTGGGCCATTATTACTTACCATTTGTTCACTTTATTGGTGGACGTTCGTAGGTTTACACCTCTGCAAGCCTGTGATTGCTGGCTGTTTTCATGGTGGCTGGCCAGATTTCCCCACTTAAGTGTCAGGGTAATTCCAGTAAGATGATGCTTTTCAACATGGAGTCCTTGGATTGGCTATCAGGAGTCACTCAAGGTGATTCTCAAAACTATGCATTCTAGGTCTCAAGGCCAGGTTTGCTAAATCAGAATAGAGGGATAAGCAGAGGGAGATGGGGCAGAGGACTGGGCATGGGCATTTGTGACAGTTTCCCAATCGAGTCTTCAACTCTTTAAAATGTAAGAGTTCTTAAGCAGAGAGGCAGATCATTTTTGCATTTGTTTGAGAGAGGCATTTCGGCAGCTGTGTAAGAAAATTGAAGTTGTTTATGGTACTGATGCAGTTATTAAAGATTTTATGCTGAATCTGCTGTGACACTGTTTTGATTACTAAGTGGTAATTGCAGAAGAGTTGGTTCTCTGCATACTCCAATTTATATGTAAATGATGCTTTGACACTGCCTCCACTCTGAATCCCTCTGAAAAGCTCTCTGAAGTGTCCCCAATGTGTGACAACTCCCAGAAAGAAGAGAGAACTTGTAATTATATTTCTCTATGAAAACTGAAAAATCGACAAAGATTCTAAGTAATTTAATGTAAACTTTCTGAAAACGAAATCTATTAAATAGGAATATTCATGTTATCTTTAATAATCGTATTTTTCACTTCTTATCCTAAAAACTTTGCATATGTAAGGGGGTGAAAAACTAGTTGTTTTCAGGGGTTCCGTTTTTTGTGTTTTAATGATAAAGAGATGGTCTCTTAAAATTCTTCTGTTTTTAAAAAATGCATCTGTCTCTTTGACATTCAAGCAAAAATATAGAAAATTGTATAATTAATTATTGATCCCCTCACCTCAGCTTTTGATTGAGTTGTTTTGGATAACTAAAGGATTTTTAGAGATGAGTTTACTTTCTCTGGATTTTAAAAATGATTCTACGGTGTTTATGCCATACTAATGTTGGTAAATCTTCTAAGTTAAAACAGTTTGAAATGGATTAATTTAATGTATTTGAATGGGAATATTATGGTTCTAATATAATTCTAAGAAACTTTAGTTCATCGAAAGGAATTTATCCTTACTGTTTAGATACTGTCTTCTATTCTGTTAAGGGCCATCTGCAAATATCTTTTAAGTATCACAGTGGTAGTAGGTGGGTCCAGACTGTCATTTCAGTTGATGGAATACATCACGGTTCTGCTTATGATAATCTTCTCCATTAATCTATCCTTCACCAGGATAGAGCAAGGCCTGTGTAAAAGTAAGCAATTTTTACATGTTTTTAACTTGTTTTTTCACTAACAGCAGTGTGAATGAAAAGTGCCCCTAAAGTTTACTAGCTGCCAAATTGCACAAAACCTAGCCTGTGCGTAGACGGCTTTGTGCTCTTAGCTGCTCCGTGCAAGGAGGCAGCAAAGGAGTGTTTTCCTTTAAGGACCGGATCCTAGTACTTTATTCCAGAACTTCAATGATCTTCTCTGTTTCTTGCCACATTTGGTCTCAAGATTGATTGTGGCCAAAAGGGAGAAACAACTTATATTTATTTTGGAAAATAACATTAAAAATGACACTGTCCTAATCACCAAATCAAAAGATTTGACACCAGACTGTTTCTCCATTTTTTTCTCCATACATTGTCACCTCTTATTTGTTATTTCTTCTCTCAAAAAAAAAATATATATATATCTGTCAGTGATATTAGGTCAGATGATAAATTTCTGGAAAATTCATTGCACTTTCATGTATTTTATGCTCAAAAGGATAGGAGGCAATAATAATTTATAGTGAGTAGCTTGCGCTTTGGTTAGCACCTTGAGCTTTGTTGAAACCACATGAACACTAAGCTGTGATGTAGGGAACACAGTTGTGTGCCCAAGTAAATGTTGGGGTGTTTTTTTTTTTTTTTGTACCGTGGCATTTCCAAGTCATAAAAAAGAAAATTAACAGAGAGGGGGTGAAATGAAGAATGTCTGTGATCAGGAATTTTTAAACTTACCCTTATTGATATCACTATTTTTTAAAGTAAAATTTCCAAGTGATCCAGTTCTTGAGTGAGTGTCAAGCTTGCTTGTCTAAGCCTGGTCTGTATGACACCATAGGCCAGATGTGGATGTCTGCCCAGACTCCAGGAAGCCACTTTAGCTCTGCACATGCCATGGGATGGGGATTTGTGGGCCCCATTCCCACAGTTGTGCTGACTTGATTTCTGGTCAGGTGTTGTGCTGTGTACCGGCTCTGGCACGATTAAACATTCTGTCAAGGAACACGGTGCTAGGTGATCTGAGTATAGAAGCACAGACAATGCTTCCATTTGGGTACTAATCTTTCTAGAACTCCAGCATGCCTCTGAAATCCAAATTGAAAGGGTGTTCACAAACTTATCCCTTGAGTTGAGCTTTTTTTCTTCTTGATTCTCCCCCCTTTATGTTCATACCATCATCTGGAGCTCAATACTGGCATTAGCTGACTTGGCAGTACTTTGCTTTATATGACATACCTCTACATTTAGTACAAAAACCTACAAGCAGAGATTGTCCAGTAAGTATTTAGTAGCTCTGAGTTAACATAGGCTACAGTAAATATAAAGTACTTGTTAATTATAGCACATTCCAAGTATGTGTGAGCATGTGTATGAGACTACGAGTGACCGAGTTTGTGAATCTGTGAGTGTCTGAGTGTGTCTGTGTGTCTCTGTGTTAACAGTTGCTGATATTCTGTTTTTCATCTTCAGCTTCCAGTACAGTGGTCAGACATTGTCACTTTGAAAGCCAGAATGACAAATTATGGCTTACCTAGATACCGCTGGCTTACGCACGCTTGGAATTTTTTTCAGAGAGAGGTAAGTGCTACCGTTGCTGAGGTAAAGGGTAGAGTGCAGTGGTTGGCAAATTAATTAGTTAACAGAGCCAAATATCAACAGTACAACGATTGAAATTTTTTTTGAGAGCCAAGTTTTTTAAACTCAAACTTCTTCTAACGCCACTTCTTCAAAATAATCTTGCCCAGGCCGTGGTATTCTGTGGAAGAGCCACACTCAAGGGGCCAAAGAGCCACATGTGGCTCTCGAGCCGTGGTTTGCTGACCACTGGTATAGAATAAATGGTTTACTTTCAAAACAAATGTTCAAAGCTTTGGCCTTGGTCACATTCTCTGTGCTGAAAAGTTAAGCCTGTGATTCAGTGACCATCGGTGGGATTCTTTATTGAGAAATACCTTAAGGAAAGCCAGGTTCTGCTTTCCTCCCACATATATCATTTCCTTTACATTTCACATGCTTCTCTGTAGTTTCATTTTTTTAAAAGCCTTTTTACTAAGCTACTGTGAAGTTTCCTTTTCATGAGTTAGTAAATATCCACCTTCACTTTGAATAGATCACTTTTTCATCACTTTTAGAGCTATTCGTATTTTAAACATCATATAAACTACAAATGGCCATTCTCACTGGAGAATTAAGAATCAATATGTTGCTCAAGGCATGAGCTTTCTAGTCAGGAAATTCTGGCTCTCCTGCTTACTATTTCATGAGCTTCTATAATTTACCTCCTTAGCTTCAGTCTCAGCTGTAAAGTGGGAATAATAAAATACCTCCTCGAGTTTTTGAGAAGATTAGATAACTTTGATCTTATTTAGCTTATGGTTATTAGCAATAACATTACAAAGTACAGGGACTTTTAGCTTTTCTTACCTAACTTCCACACAGCACTACATGCAAGCATCTGCTCACATGGGGACTGTATATTTAGATGTTGAAAGTCTGTTGACTTGAACTTAATCATTGATCTTGCTTCAAACCAAGCTTCTCTTCCAAGCAGTTTCCTTGTGACGGGAGTGACATTTCCAGATGACCAAGTATATCCGTTTCCTTTCATTTTATTTAGCGCTGGGCTGCACAGCATTGGAGGGCCAGTGTCTTCCACGCTGGATAACCAGCTCTCTGCTCAGTTACTCTGGTTTGAATATGGGCAGAAGTTCAAGTCCCAGATAATCTCCAAATCTGGCTCTTTGTGTTCGAGCTGTTGGGATGGTGATCATTATCATTGTAACACAGATTTCCTGTTTATTGGAATGTGTCCTGACTTTGTTTGTTTACTGTTCATTTGTACTAAAAACAACATGCAGCAAAAATAAGTAAAGCATTAGGGAATTTAAAGGAAGCTGTGTTTAGCTACTGCCCTGGGTAGAAGGTGCCCAGAGTTCTTTATTTTATTTATTTTGGAGGGGGGCGGGTTGTGATGTCGACCATGATAATACAGGTTAAAAAACAAAGCACTTTTTTTTTTTTCCTTCTTAAATGGTAGGAAAAGGAGTTCCACTTAGAGAATGTACAAGCATTGCAAATTTTAGATTTGTTGCATGCTAAATTTCCTCCTCCATATCATGGGCCTATTTCACCCCAGAGGAGGTGGTGAAGACCTCTGGGTATCCTAAAGGATTAAAAACACACCCTTGTCCTAGTTTCCTAGGGCTGTGGCTATAGCCAAGTACCACAGGCTGGGGGCTCAAACAACTGAGATGCACTGTCTCACTTGTCTGGAGGCTCAGAGCTTGCGACCACGGCCTGCGGGGTTGGTTTCTTTGGAGGCCTCTGTCCTGGGCTTGCGGATGGCTGTCTCCTATGGCTTCGTGTGGGCTTCCCTCTGTGTGTGTTTGCGTCTCAGTTTCATCTCCTTAGAAGGACATCAGGCATATGGGTTTAGGGTCCACCCGATGACCTTAATTTAATCACCCCTGCAAAGACACTGCCTTCAAACATGGTCACCTTTTGGGGATGAGGACTTCACCAGGAATTTTAGGTGGCATGCATTTTCAGCCCCTAGTATTCCTTTTGAATAAAATAAATAGTAGAGCTGAGAGGGACCTGCCAGCCTGTTTTCCTGACTCTTTCGGTGCTGTTCTGCGCATGTCCTTCAGCCTCGTGGACTCTCAAGCCCTGGGGGTGCTTATTAAATACCTTATTTAAAAAACACACACACACACAAAAAAAACCTCCTGCTTTTTAAAAATGGGGTTATTTATTTTAACATAGTGGTTGGAGAATAGGCTTTGGAATTAATAGGTTCTGCTTCCTGCTAGTCTGTGATCTTGGCAAGTTACTTGGGCCATCAGAGCCTCAGTTTCTTTATATCTATCGGGGTCTAGTAATAATTAATGTCGTTTTTAAACATTCGTTTAAAATCTTGCTTGGCGATGACTTGTATTGACTTAACCTTCAAACACGTGGTATCTACAGAACATGTGAAGTGCAATTAACAAGTTTTGCTTGAAAAAGTTTGTGTTTGGTTTGGTTTTTGTTGCAAAACTAGGGCTAAGAAGATGGCAGATGAAGAGCATATTCGGCACTGCATGCTTTACGAGTTCCAATTAGGAAGAAAAGCAAGTGAGGCTGCAAAAAACATCTGTAGTGCTCTTGGTCAAGATGCAGTTAGCGCCAGAAAATGCCAGCGTTGGTTTGAGAAATTTCGCGAGGGAAATTTTTCGTTAGATGACAAGAGTGGTCGAGGCCGTGTGTCCAATTTTGATCAAGAAGCTCTTCAAGCTCTTTTGGTGCAAAATCCTCAAATTACCCAACAAGAGCTTGCGACAACTTTAAATTGTTCACAAAAAACAATTTCCAATCAATTGCGTGCACTTGGCAAAGTCCAAAAGTTTGGAAAATGGGTTCCTCATGAGTTGACCGACAACAACCGTAATCAAAGAGTCACAATTTGCAGTTCGCTCCTCTCTCGTCAAAACCGTTTGCCGTTTTTAGAGCAAATTTGTTACCGGAGATGAACAATGGGTGCTGTATGTTAATTTGAAAAGGTGGCCTCAATGGTTGGACAAAAATGAGGCTCCGCAGCCCACGCCAAAACCTGACTTGCATGCGAAAAAAGTGATGTTGTGTGTTTGGTGGAATTTTAAAGGAATTCTTCATTATGAACTTTCACCATCTAACCAAACCATTACAAGTGCAGTGTATAGTGCCCATTTGGAAAGGTTAGCCCAAGCTTTAAGAGAGAAAGAACCCTCGCTGATTAATCGGAAGGGCGTAATTCTTCACCAGGACAATGCACGACCGCATACTGCAAGAATCACTGCTGAAAAACTGCGCCAGTTGGAATGGGAAGTTCTCCCTCAACCTGCATATTCTCCTGATATTGCCCCTTCTGATTACCATTTGTTTCGTTCTTTGCAAAACTTTCTTCTTGGAAAAAAATTTAATAATGAAGAATGCCTCAAAAATGCATTGACCGAATTTTTTGCATCAAAATCACAAGAATTTTACAACAGAGGGATTAAAATGCTTCCTGAGCGTTGGGCACAAGTAGTAGAAAACAACGGCAACTATATTGTTGATTAAATTTTGTTGTATTGTTTAAATAAATTCGATTTTAAAAAGGTATTAGAAAACGACATTAATTATTACTAGACCTAATAAAATGGGATTTATATGGTTATGGGATTTTCTTGACTTTGATACAATGCTAGCTAGAGTGGCCCTGCCTCACGCTGTGGTTTTGAGGGAGGCTGGAAAACCACAGGGAGATGTAGACCACAGTCCTACAGGGCATCATAATGGCTTTGCTTAAGGGAGTTTTTAGGAAAAGTTTCAATTCGGTATCTTCAGCTAAGGATGAAAAACAACTGTGTACCAAGAAAAAAAATATCTCAGTGACATTAACATTTAAAAAAAAAGTTTGGCACCGCAGGTGATATGCGTAAGCAATTTGGAAGAAGCAATTTCTGTGGAACACCTCATTTCCTGACAAGGCCAGATGAATGGGCCGCCCTGTTGTGGATGGGGTGAGAATGTGCCAAGAGCTATTCTTCTGTCATCAACCAGAAAAAACACATGTCGTTAGGAAACGATAGAGGCTCGTTCTCTCTCAGTGCAAGGGTTTTTAAAAGACTGACTTGGAACTCTTGTAAGTCGTGTATGGTTTTTAGAAAGTAGAGTCTTTTTACCGCATACAATTTTTTTTTATGGAATCTTAATGACATGAAATCTGTGATGTCAAATGATGTTTGACTTAATGTGTGATGCTTCTGATATATATGCATGGCTTTGAGAACGAGTTTATAAAAGGAAATTACTAAAACTATTTTAAAGTTTGTTGGAAAATTTTAGTATTACTCATGGCGTTCAGTAATTCATCATTTGTAATCACTCTTAAGGGGATGTTTGCTTTTAAACATTATACATTTAGGCAAATGAAAACAATGGATAGTCATTTTTAGGATTTTCCTTGTTTCCTTTTACTTGACAAGTTCAGAATTCTTCACAGTGGATTTTGAAGTTAGAAATGGTGGGTTGTGGTGTTTTGTGGCACAGTGTCAGTCCTGGGCACGGGAGGATGTGCTGGGCTCCATAATATACAGAGCCAATCGCTCTTGGCAGAGTTCTTCTCAGAGCCTGCCCATAGCACTTGTTTTTCACTCTGTGAAGAGTAACCCACTCTACCCAAGGGCCAACATTTATCATAGTTAATTATTCTGAACCTAATCTACATCCATCCTTAAGCAATGTAGCTAAACCTTGGCCAGAGAAAGATTTTGCAAAACCTTGGGGAAATGAGACAAAGAGAAAAGGAAAAAGAAAAATATTTTTTCTTAATCTAACTTAAGTTAAAGGAATATCATTTCTTCCGTGATTTACGTGATAGAATATGATAGTTTATTTCTAGTATCTTATTCGGATGGATAAAAACTTATTGGCCTAAGTTAGGTTTACATCTTAAAAAATTTTGGAGATTTTTTTTTTTTTTTTTTTTTTTGTAAATGAACCCAAGTCTGGTGATCTTTGTGAGGGGAACTTTGGTCAACAAACCTTCTCTGGAGATTACAGAAACATTTAATATACTATTTGAATTTTAAGCAGTTAAAATGGTAACTAGGCATATACATGTAGATTGATCAGCTACTCTTCGGTGTCTAGGGGCTTAATGATAAATGTAAGGTTTGAGCTATTTGTCTTGTTAGTTGTGCATATGAACTCTGTGGCTGTAAGATCTCTTGTGGAGGACCTTAGGGTGGGAGAGGGGGAGGGAGACTGAGTCCTGCTTGGCCTGTGTTCAGGTGTTATGGGCATTAGTGTTCAGAATTGTTCCACTGGGGACTCCTTTAAGACATTTCTGTCATCCACCGAGAATGTACACATGTCATTAAGTGACGAAGAATAATGTTCGCTTTGGCTACAAAAATTTAAGAAATCTGCTGTTTAACTTCTTATAAATAAAGAAAATATTTGTGTAGTCTCTGAGCCTGACCATGTTCTTTTACAGTTCAAGTGCTGTGGAGTGGTGTATTTCACCGACTGGCTGGAAATGACAGAGATGGACTGGCCCCCAGACTCCTGCTGCGTTAGGGAATTCCCAGGATGCTCCAAACAGGCCCACCAGGAAGATCTCAGTGACCTGTACCAAGAGGTAAGGCCATATGTTAAACGGGGATAAAAGTTTCCTTATAATGACAAGTATAGAACCCACAGCATGCCGGTGAACTAACCTCTTCTGTGCAAATACAAAGGCACTTGAAATTTTTGCTCTGGTATGTGGAAAAACAGGATAAAGGTAAAAATTAATGTACAGCCCTGACTGGTTTGGCTCAGTGGATAGAGTGTCGGCCTGTGGACTCAAGGGTCCTAAGTTCGATCCCAGTCAAGGGCATGTACCTTGTTTGCGAACACATCCCCAGGAGGGGGTGTGCAGGAGGCAGCTGATTGATGCTTTTCTCTCATCGATGTTTCTAACTTTCTCTCCCTCTCCCTTCTTCTCTGTAAAAAAATCAATAAAATATTTTTTAAAAATTAATATACAAATCTGAACACTGAACAGAACATTGGGAAGGTGTGGGTTTTAGAATTAATTGGATTTTAAAATCTGTTGTCTAAGAATCAAGTTCTCTTGCCCCCTCCTCAGGGTCCTTTGAAAACAGATGCAGACAGAGGGTGTAGCTGACTCTGGAGGTCAGGAAAACACACATTGGAGTTCCTGAGTGGACTATGGTATAGAACAGTGGTCGGCAAATTCATTAGTCAGCAGAGCCAAATATCAACAGTACAAAGACAGAAATTTCTTTTGAGAGCCAAATTTTTTAAACTTAAACTATATAGGTAGGTACATTATTATTAACTTAATTAGGGTGCTCCTAAGATGGCCCTTGTTAAAAACTCAAGGGGCCAAAGAGCCACATGTGGCTAGCGAGCCGCAGTTTGCCGACCACACTGGATAGGACCTCCACATACCATTAGATTAAAATGTGTAGGGAAAATCCGACTCTCCAAAGAAAGTGCTGGCCTCTCCCCTCTCCCCTGCTAGTAGTGAGCAGTGATGGGAGTTTTAGTTAGCCGTTGGAATGGAGTTAGATGCTCGCTGGAATGAAAATCAGTTGTCCCCTGCCCAAGAAACTTGCATATTTGTGTTTTTTGGAAGAATTTATCAGAATAATCTCTTATTCCTTGTTAGCAGAAGTTTTCCTATCACTTCACTTTTTGTGGTGATTTTCAAGTGTTTTTAGCCACAGAATTCTTTTTCTTCCAATTAAAATCTAGAATACATCATCCTGTACAGCAGCGAGAGCTATCTGTAGCCACTTGAATGAAAATGAAATCAAATACCATTTTCATTCCCTCTGCTGCGCTAGCCACATTTCTTTCTTTTCTTTCTTTCTTCCTTTTTTTCCCTTTTTTCTAAATATATTTTATTGATTTCTTACAGAGAGGAAGAGAGAGAGCTAGAGAGCTAGAAACATCGATGAGTGAGAGACATCGACCAACTGCCTCCTGCACACCCCCCACCGGGGATGTGCCCACAACCAATGTACATGCCCCTGACCGGAATCAAACCCGGGACCCCTCAGTCTGCAGGCCGACACTCTATCCACTGAGCCAAACCGGTTTTGGCATGCGCTAGCCACATTTCAAGTGCTCAACAGCCTCTCCGAGTTAGCTCTTCCTGTGGCGGATCAGGCAGATGTAAGATATTTCCATCCTCACCCAAGTTTTACTGCAGCCTCTATCCAGAGGGGAAGCTCAGAATGGAAAGGAAGCTGCCCAGGCTGAGGAGCCGAATCATTTCCCAGATACATCTCCAGGCAAGCACCTGGGTGCACAGAGCACTATTCAAACCTCTGGCTTAACAGACACACTCATAATACAACACACACACACACACACACACACACACACACACACACACACAGTATATGCTATAAAGAATGAAACTGTAAGAAAAAATCATACCAGGATTTATAAAACATGTCTTTTTATGTGTTTCAAGATCATGACCTTAGGAGGTTAGGCGTTTTTTCCTCGAGATACTAACATTGTTCAAAACATCTTTTAGCCAGTCTGCCAAAGGCAATTGTAGAGATGCACAGGAATGAGCTTCATTAATTTATAGCATAAAGGAACTAATTTGAAAAAGATACTGGAATACTGACACAAATGATTTGTTACATCCGTGTCTCAGATATGAGCAATTTTGGGCTGTTAAAAAAATCGTCTCAGAGGACAAGCCCTGGCCACCTGGAAGGATGTCCAAAATAAAGTGCTTTGGGCTCCAAAGGCACATGCAAGAAAGAGGGCCGGGTATTTTTTTTTTTTAAGAGGTTCACAATTTATTTTTTCCCCAGGGCTATTATAACAGAGTGCCACTAAGTGAGTTACTTCAACAGCAGGTACTTGTCTCCTGGTTTGGAGGCTGTGGATCTGAGATGGAGGTGTGCTAGTAAGCAGGGCTGGTTCCTTCTGATGGGAACGAGGAAGAACCTACCCCAGCCTCTCCCTCACCTTCTGTAGCTGGATGCCATCATTGGCACTCTTCGGCTTGCAGCACCGCCTGCTCTGCCTTCACCTTCCCACGGAGTTCCTCTTGTTTGTGTCCGTCTCCAAATTTCCCTTTTTACAAGGATGCTAGTCACTCACTCCTCTCCTGTCTGACCTCGTCTTAACTAATCACACCTGCAACAACTCTGCGTCGAAGTAAGATCCGATTCTGAGTTAGTGGGGATTCGGACCTCAGCATAAGCATTGGGAGGGGACACCATTCAAGTCATAACAAGATTTGTTGAAACAGCTGAGTAACTCAGGTTGTTTATTTTAAAAGGTAACCAAAATACTTATCGTCATGCCTCATGCTACTGAGAAGCATTGTGCTGGATATTATCATTTAAAACATATTATGCTTAGTAACATTTTGGCTTTGAATAAAAAAGAATTACAAGGTCTTGTATATCGAACAAAGAATGGCTGGGTCAGTGTCCCTGAGTTCCTCGGTGGTTGTGCTCTTGTGTTCTGGGTGAAAGCTGAATATTGGCTGGTAGCAGGGATGGCCAGCTAACAAATACAACAGTCAAAGTCTGCTTATTCCACAAAGCAGAAGCAGTGCTGAACATTTCTAAGAAAAATTAAACGCAGGCATAATTGTGCACATTCACACACATTACAACACCACTAGATTTAACACACACAGAGATGGTTATAGTATAGGTACAAATGTAAACATGTGAACTAACTTACCCTGTGTAAACTTACCCTGTGTAAACTTAATTCATCTATTAGTTTTAGGAGTGGCAAGTCAGTATGGGAAATTATTGGACTATACCCCCAAATACACTGAGTGGCCAGATTATTATGATCTCCGAATGCATAATAATCTGGCCACTCTGTATGAATTTATGCATGGGTGGGGTCCAGCCTGGCCAGGAGGAGGGGACATGGGTAATTGGCCAACCTGCCAGCTGATCGAACTCCTGGTCGAGAGGACAATTTGCATATTAGCCTTTTATTATATAGGAATATACACTGAGTGGCCAGATTATTATGCGTTCAGAGATCATAATATTCTGGCCACTCAGTGTATAGTGATTTCTATTTTCTTTAGTGATTAATACTGATAATATGATTATTACCAATATTGACCATGAGAATAGCAAAATGTGTATCAATTTTCCAGATGTTCCCACAATGTCTTTACTTCAGCTTTATTTTATTTAGTTGAAAAGCCTGCAGTTAACATTTAATAAAAATTTCTTGTAAAAGTGCAATTCAATTTTACTAGCTTATCTTAATGGTCTCCACTAGTAATATTTATAATGGGATTCTTTACTTTCAGGATGTTGATAATTGCTTGTTCCATGAATTTTAAGCTGGAAAGATGCCACACTGTTGTGCCTGTGCAAATCTGAGGGCCCAGTTTATTTAAAAAGTTTTTCATATTTTCATCAAAAGACCTTCAGTAGCAACCTGGCATTGTCAGTTATGAGATATTTCTTTAGACAGAATTCCAGCAGAGATGGAGGTTCATTATATCAGAGTAATCTGCTTTTGCACTTTCTAATTAATAACAGATGTTGCTATTGGTAATGTTATAGTGCATCATTATATATGTAGTTGCTTTACCAACGTGAATCACTTAGTAGCTTTACGGTACAGGTACAATTAAATCCATCACTAATGCCAAAGCCGGTTTGGCTCAGTGGATAGAGTGTCGGCCTGCTGACTGGAGGGTCCCAGGTTCGATTCTGGTCAAGGGCGCATTTTCTAATTGCAGTGTGCTTGAGGATCATCCACGTGGAAGAAGAGGGATCTAGAAAGAAGAACAAGGGAGGGACAGTTGGAGGTGTTTGCAATGTTTATTCTGAAGCAGTGAGTCCTAAGGGGAGATATTTCAGATGTCCTCAAGTATTTCAAAGTTCATCAATCAGAACAGGAACTGGACTTACCCATTGCTGCTCCCAGGGCGGGAGTCACAGGAAGGAAATTTTGAGTCAGTAGAAGGAAGAGCTTGCTCATCAAAATCCGTCCAATTGTGGTACAGGTTCTCTTGTAAAATAGTGAGTGTCTTATCTCTAAAAAATATTAAAGTCAAGATCACTGGTGTTAGAATGGGTTTTTAAATTAAGAGGGAATCTGGACTAGATGAACTTCAAGGTCCCTTTTATCTTTCATATTCTGTTAGCTCCGAGATAAGAACTGACTTTCTTCCTGCGATTTCTGTTCAGAGGTCTGAAATCAAGGAAATAAATCATCCTCAACCATCTGGTGGCCTGCTTGGTCCCTGACCCAATAATGTTTTATGACACATTTAAAACCTGTGAAAAATGACAGGGCAGAAATAGAGCAATAGTTGCACATTTTAGGAACATTCCCATCAGAGTTATTGTTGGGTCTGGTATACAACTCTTTAAATATCTGCATCTCTGAAAGTATACATTTAAAAATCACAATTGGAAGTATCTCTGACCATCAGTTTGGTTCCATTGCATTCATTCATTCAAAATGTTTTGTAGTTACTGACTGAGATCCAGGTGTTGAAGATCAGACAGTGGAGAATGCTACAGACAGAAATCTCTCCTCTTGTGTAACATATATTCTAGTTAGGAATATAAACAACTAACAAGAAAGAGGCAATAAAAATAATTTCAG